GTACCTCTGGTGCAAATTACTGACCTCTGTCATCATTTTAAGTGGGGGAACTTGCACAATCGGTGGCTGACTAAATACTTTTTTGCCCCACTGTATATGTGATATTTACTTGACAGTTACTTGTAAGTAACAATGTACTGTAATTTATCACTTTTACCTGTTGCCAATTTCCAATCACCATTTAATCTAACAAGCATTTTTAAACATTTTACCAGCTGACCTTAAAATATACAAAATGTCAGTTTAGAACCTAAAAGGCTCAATGCAGTCATTAGGAATAATGTGCCTCACGTGCTGAAGCCCAGTGCTTTCCAGAAGTCTGTGGTCAGCCTCTTTTTTCAGAGCAAAGATTTCTGAGCAAACAACTGAGTAAATGATTCTCATTCCCCATTTGTCCAGTAACAGTATTTTAAAACTAAACTTTTTTTTAATAAATTGCATTATAGCAATTAAAAGAAAGACTCCCCATCCATCGGATATCACATGAAGACATTACTTTATTAATAAACCAGCAAGCAAAGCATGTCAAATACAATAAAAGGATGTCCTGAAACAGAGACAGGCATGTATAAAAACCCCAAATAAAAAGATAGGTGGAGTTGGACTTGCTAAAGCCTTGCCAATGGTTGTAAACAGTGTTACAGTAGGAAATAAGAACAATGAAAAACCGAATGTGCAGAGTTGTGCTGAGGTTGTAGTGTACATCCACACAATAAAGACATTCACATGTGTCAGGTAGAGCGCAGGGACTAGTCTGCATGAACTACTGCAGCAACAGAGGATGAGAAGGAGTAGAAGGTGCTATACTGTGTGGAAGTGATGCTCAGGTTGATTCCAGTCTGACTCCAGTTAGACAGTGGTGCTGTTGTTGCCCTACACTGAGTAGCAGAACACAGTTAGTGCTGGTTATGGGTTAATATTCTGCCCACCCCTCTTAAACCTGACATTTCTGAGAAAAAAACATTTTACTGTCCACTGTGGTGGTACAGGCTTGATTCCCTTTGTGTTCCCTTATTTGTAGAGAAAAAAAGAAACTGGTTATATTTTGTGCGTATGTTGCAACAACTGGCCCCACGCATAAGATTAAATGCGTGGGATTAGCAGTAGGGATTTACGATGAGTCCAACAGATCTGTGTCCCCAACACCGATTTTTGTCAAAGCTTAAAAGTAATTTAAAAAGAAATAATGCACTCCAAATGATCCTTATGCTTCAGCTCAGCTCTGGTGTGTCAGCTCTGTCATCAGGTCACCCCCAGGTGACCCAACATCAATTATGATGCCCAAAACTGCCTTTAAAACACGACATATGCAAGTGAGTGCAGCTCCCCATTTAGACCGCCAGAGGGCGACATTCCATTACTTTCAGCTAAACTGCAGATAACATAACTTCTTTAAATCCAGTATTGCAATTCTTTTATGTGACAAAAGCTGTTTTAGATGAATTTGATGGCATAAATATCCATTTATGTCAATGTTTCCAGACCTGACCCAACCACTACTGTGTGGCTCTAGACACAGTCAATGAATTTGACGGGGCCCTGATGTACTCGGGTGACATGTTTGAGGATTAATAAGACAGTTGTCCCTCTCCACATCTCATACACACTCACATCAGACATGTCCAAATATCTGTAGCTGATGCAGAGCAGAGCCCTCTAATCGCCCAGCAGTTTTAAACGTTAATTAATCTAAAAATAATTGTTGAACTCGCACCAAATGTTTGCTGACATCAGGAGGATGGTTAATAGTTACACTGTAGTGAGTTTTACTACTTTTACCAGGACACCTGCTGGAAATACCCAGATTTCTGCCTTAATGACAAGTTATGCTTTCAAATTATATTAGTGGAATAAAAATGTCTTTCACAGAAAAGCTGACATTGTTCTATAAATTAAGGCTTGTATTCCCAGTGATGCAGAAAGCAAATGATTTATTTGTTTTGAATCGTGTTGAAATCATCGATATGCTTTCCCCTGACTCGGCCTCATTCCACCCTCAGTTTCAAATCTGGGAGCAGATTTAGAAAACATTACAATGCTTTATATAAGAAAGCAAGGTAGCAGCTGCTGGCAGTGAGACGAGAACAACACTGGACTTCATTTATTTACAGAGCTCTTATTGGCAAACTTCATGGGAATATTGGATGTGTCTTCTTGCTTATATTTCAACTTCACACTATACTTGGTACCAAGACTGTTTAGTCCCTTAAATTTATCACAATAATAACAATGTAGGAAAATGCTGCAATAAATCGATTATGGATATTTGCATCATACTTGCTTCTTTCTGATGCAATATTATTTTTGTTTTATTCAGTTTCTATCTGTTATGATTTTATACATAATTCAAGAGGTTTCTTTATATTATTTTTATGTAATGATTAAAAGTAAATGTTTTCATGTGTGTCATAACCAGGGGGTCCTTGTAAAAGAGAGCCTGCTCTCAAAGCCTTCCCTGTTTAAATAAAGGTATTTTATATAGACCACAAATAAAAGATCTGGCAGACTGCGTGGTAAATATGTTTACAGTAACAACTGGTCAAAACATTTTGTGTAATCTCAAAGTTGTGGCTCATAGCGACAACCCGATGAAGACGTTTTTAGCATTGTAGCTCATCGTTTTGTTTTTTTCTAACCCATTTCCAGAAATACGCTGCTGCTGCGCCTATCGACTGCCCTCACACAGTCTTACCTACATGTTGATGGCGAGCACTATTCGTCTACCTGATATTTTTCATCGTTATTTTAGCGGAGAACAAAACAGAGCTTATGTTTGTCAAATGGCCACAGCGATAAATGACTGTGGCTCCTGAATATTCTGGACTTATGGTAAACATACAACTCTTTGACAACAGCTTGAGGTCGTGTCCATAATGCTGCCAAACAGTTGGTGGTTCAAAGTATGGTTTTTTTTCCTTCAACTAGTGCCGACTCAACATCGTTAGTGTTGTCCTTAGCATGTTTGAGGACAGCTATAACAACTTTCCTCGTTCATTTCCAACATTTTTCATCACAAATATCTGCATACAGGTTAAATTCCTGTTATGAATCCACCCACCAAGACTTCAGTTCAGTGGCTGACCCTAATCTAGTCGATATATACTATAAACACACACAGCAGTGGAGGTAGGGGCTGAGGGAGATTTGGTTTAACTATTGATTTAAAAAATTCGGTAATCTCCACAACAGTGTGACTTCTGATTTCTGCTGACATGGGATTGCATATGTGAAAAGTCTTTTAGTGAGAGCTCACTGTTAGGTTGAACTATTGAACTTCAGATTGACTGAGGGAAGATGTAGGAGCTTGGGTTTCGACAGGAAATGAGCTAGCATAGATAAGTGAGTCGGGAGGCGATACGGAGAGATGGTCAGGCGTTCCTCACAGGCAGAAGTCAAAGGTCAAGTCGGACTTCCCCATCTTCTGTCTGTATACTGCATCAAACTTTTCATTCATAGACACGGTGAAGATATCTTTCCACAGACCAACACGACCTGCAGGGAAATGGAGCGTAGTAAGGATTTTAATAAGCACCGTCTTTATTTGTGCTCAAAACACCAAAACTTATTGAGCGTATTTCTGCTGCAGACTGAATGCAGCCCGGCACGGCAGTGACTCACCAGTTGCAGTGTGTATGTGACAGATCAGACTGACTGTCAGCTCTCTAACCTATAGCAGATCAAACACCAGCCTTCCTTAGACTACAAGGAAAAAAACAGATGGAAAAACATAGAACAAAAACAGATGACAGAAACTGTAAGTGAACATAAAAAACGAAATATACACATAAACCAAAATGATAACAAATAAGGAAACAAATGTAAAACACATGTACACTCATGTGAAAAACTATGCGCACCCTTACTGTTTCTGTAGGAATTAAGTAGCTTCAGAAAGCACAATTACAAAATGACAGATCAAGTAAGGCTTGTTTGAAAAAAGCCTATTCTCTCTAAAATGAACTTGACCGCATTTGCAAAGCTTTCTCTGAACAAAGGACAACAGATCTGGAACAACGTCCTTTGGACAGAAGAGACCAAGTGGAAATCCTTCAAGCATAGCAGTGGAGAGGTGATGAGTGGGTTTGTTTTGCAGCTACAGGACCTGGACTTGTTGCAGTCACCGTGTAGACTTCTCTATACCAAAGTACTCTAGAGTCAAATGTAAGGTCGACAGCTAGAGCGTGGCCAAAACTGGGTCATGCAACATGAAAATGATTGGAACAGAAAAGAGTCAAGGTCTTGCAATAGCCCAGTCAAAGTCCAGAGCTCAACTCGATTGTGGAAGTACCTTAAGATAGATATGCATAAACACAGTTCCTCCAACCTCAGTGAACTGAACAATGACATGAAGGAGTACGCCAGATTTCCTCAACTACTGAAGGGACTGGAGGTCACACAGAAAACAGGGGACACTTCAAGTTACTGCTGCTAAAATAGTTCTGATAGATAATAAATCATCATTTGACAGTTTTCTTTTTCATATGACTGTACATGGAACTCATGAAAGGTTCAATCAAAACAAACGCAGTCACATCCTGCACAACACTCCAGTGTTAAACTACAGTCTGCAGGGCAGAGTCAGACACACTGGTGCTATAATGTTTTCATCAGAATGCATTATGTAATAATCCAAAAATATTCAATCACATAGTCATGCAATATGAAATGTCATGCAGGTAACCTTGGCACAACTCATTTTTAATTTAACCAAAACTATTTAAATTAACGCCATAACTAATTTAACTATAACTTGGTTCTGTATTCGAACCATCGTCATTCCTACAGTTGAATCACATCATCTTGTTTTCTTCTGTGATCATTTTGATAAAGTTAAGCGTTAAATTCTTACGTCCCAGTCACACAGACCCGGAGATCAGTTGGTGACTACATCGACCCGCTGATTAAAAAATGAGAATCTCCCTACCAGCTGCAATTTGTTACAGTTGCTGTGATTGATTGTCACAGAGCCTTGGTAGCTATCACCTATAACTGTCATAGGAGGCACTGACTGACCCACAAGCACACACTAACTAGCTGCTATGTCACCATGAAACTATATAGCGTGTGAGGCAAACCAGAAACATCTATTGATGATAGTTGTATAAATATAAATGCCAGTATAAGCATTGTTAGCAGGCCCAGTGTGTGTTTCTCTTTGAAACCATATTCTTAATATTTGGTCATATTGAGAAAACACCAAACCTTTAAATTAACTATCTTAACATCGGCACATTAATAAACCAAGCTCATAATCCTTCCAGTCAAAAGGTTTTTCACAAATTTATATATTTTTCACAGAACTTGTCTTTGCATTAATCAAACAATTTAACATTCACTCGTTTAAAACTCAGTATATAAATAATTAAACATAGTTAAACATAGTATTCACCTCTCAACTCATGCAGCATGTATGTTAACATTTACTGATCAGAGGTGTAGACCTGATGGAGCGATCAGCCCATTTTAAATAATAAATTCACAGTTAGCTTAATAACTTCAGTTGTCAGTTTAAGAGAGTTTCATACAGTAAAGTTAATAAAGATGAAGCGAGTGATCAGAGCTCTCATTGTGATAACAAGGGTCACATTTAACAACAATTTTCTTATGACATCAAAAACCTGCTTTCAGGGTTTGTCCAAAGAAGTACAGAGTCAGCTATGTGTTTGTGAACAGCATTTCCAAAGCTGCACCCATAGAAGTGTAAAGTTCTTCTTGACAGTAGGTCTTCACATACCAAGGGGCAGGTGTTAGACACAGAGTTTAGGAGTCGTTTGGTACCGGGCCGCGAGAGTTGAGGCTCAGGTGTGAAATGTTTGGTTTTCAGGGTTTTTATCGGTTTTCAGCGTTATTTTGTTATCGTTTTTATCGTTTACTTCGTTTTCCTGGGTCTTTTCACGTGTGTTATGAATAAATCTTCTTTTTTTCGGTACCGGTACTAGTTTTGTTTTGTTGTATTTATCCGCGACACCTTAAAGGCCGGTCCATGAAAATATTGTCGGGCATAAACCGGTCCGTGGCCAAAAAAGGTTGGAGACCGCTGATATAAATCATTGACTACATGAGTTAAAGTAGTATTATGCACCAAGAGCTCTGAGTGACTGAATTACTAAGAAGCTAACGTTAAGTAGCCTTGTGCTAACCTGCAGTGTAAAGTATTGACTATGACACTGCGTGATGATCTAAACTCCTGAAACAGAAAGGTGTTTCTCTTCATGAAGTCCTAATCTCATTGTAATGTCATTAAAGTTTACATAAGGAACAACTTAGACGTGGATGTATTTAGCTTGTATCAGATTATTAGTCCAGCTGTGAGATATTATTAGTATTAGGTAAATTTGCATGGGTAAGCCTTTGCTCTGTTTACTACAGGTCAGTGACCTAAGACTGGTCTGCATACACAAACTCTTGCAACATAACTATCGTCTCCAGGGACATTAATAACTAACCAACACAAATCAATGTAGTTATCTCCCCTTAAAAAATGTTGTCTATAAGCTCAGTGTACATTAAATAATTTATGGTGTGGTTGACTTTAGGAAATGTGTAATCTGCAATGCTACACATTTCCTTTGCAGCGGTCGAGAGTTATAGTTAGTGATTTAGTTGTTGTCTGAGTTTGTCTGCACTAGTTTGTATTGAATTTGACCCCAAATATGATTAGCTTCGATTATTTGCATCCTGACCTCTATCAGCTAATGGGAACAGCTAATCTCTTAATGGGAACAGAATGAAAAACAATGAAACTGCTATAAACAAAAAAGTTTGAATACACCTACATGGAGCATACAGAAATCGAACTACACGATATTGTAGTATCACCACAAGAGTTAACAAGGAGGTAAGCACTGTAAGAAACTAACAACTCTCAGCAAAGGACCAAAAAGATCTGACCCAGCTGCTACTTTCTTTAGTAGCATTAAGTAGTATGAAAGGGCAGTGATTTTGAAAGAGAAGCTGCTATATAATTGACTTTTCACTGACGTGAGCAACGCATAATATTCCATTCTCCTCCACTGCTTCGGGCATTTGGCAATCCTACCACGATGAGCTTACCCAATCTTCTACCAGAATCTTCATTTTTTGCACTTATTCATGGAAATGTAAAGTGGGCAATGTCCTGTAAGATTTGTGTTTTCCTGGTACTCTTTCTTGTTTGCAGCATTTGTTTGAATTTGTTCTTCTGTGTTCATTCATTTTTCCAGTAATATTTTACTCTTCATACTACACACAGACATAATGTAAACAACGGGAGGCATTGCTTTAGGTTTAGATGCACAAACTCAGAGCAGCAGCACCAATCTTAACAGCAGAGTCTGATATTCCTGCACTCTATTCCTCTGCATACTCACAGAGATATCAGTGGGGGTGGAATGGACCCTTTGGTGGGTCACTTCTGGCCTACAGTCTGTGGACCCCTGTTCTAAGATGTTACACAGCCACCACTAGCGGTGACATATTACAGCTGCCTGCTCTGTGCTTGGATTTTGTAAACCAGCATGTCCTGTTTTTATATTGGTATTTATGTGTTACCCTTAGCCCCACTTGGAAAATAGTTCAAAATAATACAAATAATAGATAAAAATATAACATCAGACACATTTCATTTTCTCCTGATTAATCAACTAACATATTGCATCATATCTATGCAGGTAATCACCATACATACAGTTAAACTGCCTATTCAGAAGACTCAATGAACAACCTCCAGACCTGTAAAATGAACATGGAAATCACAAAAACTGCAGTTCCCTTTACTTGCCGATAGATAAGATCCCCTCTTTATAAGAACCTTACCTGAATTACATCCACCTGGATATTTGAGTTAGTGGCCTTGATTAATGAGTGTCTGTAGCTGGTTCTGATGGGCGTCTGCTAAGATGGGCGTCTTCACTGTGTTTGCATGATTTGACTAATTATGGCTTTCTGTGTGAAGATTGTGTTGCAGTTTTGGTGGGTGCATTCAATTGCTTTATTAGTCTGTAACTATTTGTGGGGGTTTTTGTTGCACCCATACAGTTTATGGAGACAACTTGTGAATATAGCTAACTAGTGTTAGCTCTTAAATTAGCACTGCTCCCTCTACTCAGAGTGTAGAGTCCTAAACCAATGGCTGATGTCTCAGTCGGTATGTGCATGTTTTATGCTGTCTGTGCCCAGAACAAAATAACTGAGCTTTCCTCTCCCACTCACCTCTGCACATGGACAGTGCCTCTGAGTTGCAGCACTGCTCAATGAGCTGGTTGCAGCTCTCCACCATGCCTTCCAGCTGAGCCTTGTCACAGGAGACACCCAGGAAACGTGCCAGTTGTTCCACTAATGTCCCCAGATCCTGAAGAGCAGAGGAAGAAAAATCTATGAAAGCAAATGTAACAAACAAACACAGAGAAAATGTTTTGTTGTTAAAATAACGCTAATGCGTGATTCTGCTTTCTTAATCATGGCTAGAGAAAACACACAGTTACCCTACGTTTACTGTACGCGGTCTTGGTGATAGGGGAACAATAACTACGAACAATACAATTGTTCCTACAATTGTAATCAATTAAGGAAAATAACTGCATATATAGCAAAATGATTCTTCCAAAGGGATTCTTGGAGCAGCTTTCTGATGTATTCATGGATGCTTGTGTTTCCTCCTGGATTTGACACGCATTAATCCTCCCTCTCCCTCTTTCTGTTGCCCGCATACCCTCGGTGTGCTGAAGGTTGAGCCTCCATGCATCGTGAAAAGTTTTCATATTGTGACATCAGTGACATTGAACTCGTTCAGATTACTACTCCAGCTGGGTGCCTGATGAACGGTAGAAATGTATTTGGATACTTGGTACTTGCAGCTATCCTGTGTGTCTTCTAAGATTGGTCTGCCTGATCTTAGAGTCCTGACGTACTGTTTTATCAATCAGTAGCTGGTGCCTTGAACCTCTGATGTTGTCTATGCCCTTATGCGTTGATACAGGCTGGTAAGTTTAACGCCCATAGAGCATAAAAAAAGAGCATAAATGTCAAATAGATAACAAATTAATGTGAAATATCAAAAACATATTATATAAACACATTTCTATTAAAATAGATTTTTGGCTTAGTTGGAAATATTCAATGCTTCTTGATTTTTATCCTATTGAGTTCCTTAGTCAAACTACTAAGAGGGCAAAAACTACCCATATGGAAAAGATATATATAAATCTTATAAAGTTTGTATCGGTCTTGTGTGAAACTTGAATGAAAAGCATACAAGAGTGAAAACAGATATAAGATCCCTTGAAAAATTATATAATGAAACTTGTATGTTTTGGATACTTACTAAAACAATATATGAAAGTAATGAGAAAGTGGCCGCTTTCATGAGTGAATCATGTAAGTTTTTACTATTTCTTTTCCATATGGGTATGTTCAAGGCCAGAATGCCTGCTCAGAAAATCTAGGCACCATAGGAGCAATTTCCCCCTAATTTACTGCCTACGTTGCACACAAAATTCAGTAAAGTCATCTGTCAGGGACAGACAGCTGGGTGTAAGTTTCCATGAACTAGCAATAAGATGCTAAAAGGGCCCACAAAACAGTTGTGATATTACCTTGTACATGTCTTCGTATTTCAAGAAAAGGACATTAGAATCCATCCGGTGTTCCCAAAATTCCTGAACATGTTCAAACCAGGAACCATATCCCACTATAAAGGAAAAGTATCAATCAGTGAGATACAGGGACTCGACAAAACAGGACAGGGCTTCTATGGAGTGGATTACATGAAATGTCCAAATCTTCTATTAATCTATATACTCACGTTTATCATTCATGAAGCGCCGGCAGAATTCCTGGAAGGTTCCCCGGTAGCTCATGGTCCTGAGAGAGCGGTGAAACTGGTAGTAGGATACCACCAAATCCTTAGGGTTTCGAGCCATGTAGATCACCTGGAAGAGGGCAACAGTACTCGCTGTAAACAGGAAGTATAGATTTAACCCAGTATCACAGCAAGGCGTGTAACAGACACGCTGGTCCACCGTGGACAGAAGTTGCATTACCAGCAGTGGGAGATAATATATTTAAAGTCTGCATTGAGCAAAAGACGTGTGACGTACATTTCAGGGTGCTTAAATGCCAGAAACGATAAAGCTAGGCAGCTAAAATGTATCTACATGTAATGTCTGAACACTTTCCCGTGATTATTTTCATGTTGGCTTGAAATGGAATATCTCCATCTGATGTTTTACTGCAGCTCCTGCGTGCATGTACATGAGGCAAAGCGGTCTATTTGACTTTTTGTCGTGATACTAGGTTGATATATTACCTCTGTGTTTTAGTGAAATAAAAATGACTGCTGAATCTCCCTGTTTACTTGTTGATTTGATGAACTCAGCCTCTTAGAGAACTAACCTTAGCCTCTCCATTGTGCATGGCTGTAGGGAGGAATCGATAGGGAAGATGGCTTTTGATCAAACGAGGTGACGACAGCTCCTGTGAAAGACAAACACAGTGAATCTGCACTGAACTTTTCCCATCATGTCCTACAGAAAACTTGTGCAACTCTGGACATTTGTCCAAGAAATCTGCAGCTTTGACACGACTGAAGTGTTTGAGTTTTAGCTAATAGAGTGTCTCATATAACATTTTACGACCCTGGAAGAGGTCCTACAAAAGTTCCCCCAATAAAAATCTTACTAACACCAGATGAGGTCATTGTTACTGGTGGTGAAACAAAAACAAACCAAAGAGCAACCTGATAGACAATAACCTTACTGCAGCATTAGCATCAGTTTGATGGTGCTGGTCAAACATAGAGACCACTACCAGCATCTCCTTATGTTATAGATCTAAACAACACGTTCTCACTCCCGAGTAGAGAAGGGCGATATGACCAAAAACATTCTTCAGTCTTCAGCTGATCCAAAATGCTGCAACAAGAGTCCTGACAGGGACTAGAAAGAGAGCAGATTTCTCCTGTATTGGCTTCCTGTTAAATCCAGAATTCAAAATCCTGCTCCTCACATACAAGGTCTTAAATAATCAGGCCCCATCTTATCTTAATGACCTTGTAGTACCATATCACCCTATTAGAGCACTTGGCTCTCGCTCTGCAGGCCTACTTGTTGTTCCTAGAGTATTTAAAAGTAGAATGGGAGGCAGAGCCTTCAGTTTTCAGGCCCCTCTTCTGTGGAACCAGCTTCCAGTTTGGATTCAGGAGACAGACACTATCTCTACTTTTAAGATTAGGCTTAAAACTTTCCTTTTTGCTAAAGCATATAGTTAGGGCTGGACCAGGTGACCCTGAATCCTCCCTTAGTTATGCTGCAATAGGTGTAGGCTGCCGGGGATTCCCATGATGCATTGAGTTTTTCCTTTCCAGTCACCTTCCTCACTCACTATGTGTTAACAGACCTCTCTGCATTGAATCATATCTGTTATTAACCTCTGTCTCTCTTCCACAGCATGTCTTTATCCTGTCTTCCTTCTCTCACCCCAACCGGTCGCAGCAGATGGCCCCGCCCCTCCCTGAGCCTGGTTCTGCTGGAGGTTTCTTCCTGTTAAAAGGGAATTTTTCCTTCCCACTGTCGCCAAAGTGCTTGTGATTTGGCGCTATATAAATAAAATTGAATTGAAATGAATTGAATTGAATACTTTACAACACCGCTCCTCTAAAACAGCAACAAGGATCATTATTAGGCCAAATGTAAATAACAAAATAACTTTAACTTAAAGCAAAATTGGGAAACGTAAAGTCCGAAACAAGTCTTTATATTAAGGCCATCAGTCACACAATGCTGTTTGCTCTGGGTCTAAACAGAGCGCGTTGTGTGTGACGTCTTCTTTTGCGCATGCGGCTGCTTTGAGGGTTCACACTAGAGCACGTTTGCTGTCACATTTTATTTGTAGTGTGAACGAGCAGACAAAAAAATCAGATTTGATCAAAGCATTGGAATTGAGCATCAAGACCTGCAGTGTGAACGTAGCCTATGTTTCTGATCCAGTGTGAACAAATGACGAGATCGGAAAAATGAGGAAATGTGAGAACCATTTGGAATCCATCCACACATGTTCGTTCATTTTCCTCAAATCGCTTTGGAAAACACTATTTCACGTCATTACAGCGCTGGTTAAGGTTAGGGATAAGGTTATGGTTAGAGCTGGAATACGTGGCTGGAACGTCTTTTACCGTGGGACCGTCATTCTACTGTATTTCACCCATAACCCGGCGCTTACCTTAAGAACGCTGAAGGTCGCCTTTCGCGTTCCTCAGGAACGCCGTGGGACGTGACAAATCGTCAGGATGTTACGCTTCGGGAGTGAGAACGGGCTGATCTAAATCAGCAGTTAGTTCGTTTTAATGTTGTCATAATGTAATCCACACAATTATTCATTCCTAAATCTATAGGAATAAACAGATATATGCCTGTGAGGAATCTATATCCAGGGGACAAGATTTTTAACTTTCAAGTTTCCATTTGTAGTCTCAGCTCAGTTAATGCAAATAAAGAGTATATCTGGGAGGTAAAAGTGGGAAATGTAATATTCAAACTTTTGATGACTTTGCTTTTTATTACCTTTTCTAAATTATCTGCATTTATAAGCAAGACTTATGACAGTAAGTCTTGAACCAGTTACCCATTAACATGGCTACAGTGGAAGGCTAAGTTAGCAGGCTAGATTTTGCATTGTTTTACCAGATCGGATAATTTAATCTCACCTGCTGCCTTAGTTCTAAATTGGTTATGGTGCTGAGTGTCTGCTACTGTGATGTCAGTGACTCACTCTACCTGTATGATGTCCAGCCCAGGTTGTGGGTATTCTAAAACAGGCAGCTGTTCATCAATGTTCATAAGGCCAATCTCATCAGGGTCTGCTCCCTGACTCACTAGATACACAACTTCCTGAAGTAGACTGGTGCCTGCAATGACAGAAAAGACAATCAGGGGACAATGACAAAAGTCAAACTGCAGCATGAAACAGTGAAAGTTGCTGGATCCACAGCTGATGAGCTTGGATTAATACAAACTAACCATTGAACTATTGTACTGCAGCACAGAACACCCAAACACTCTTTGAGGCCTTAATTTGTCCATGGGAACTCAATGAGTCACAAGTAAAAGTGTGTGCGTCACTAAAAGACATCTTGGAAGAAATTATTTACTGTTTCCACTTTTTCAGTCACCCTAATCAATTACATTGTAACCATTTAATCACTAGTTACAAAACATTACCATTCTCACATTATTAATGTCTTATTTGTTGCCAGTCCAAAGATTTATGGGCAGTTTGGCTCACAGATGCAGATCACACCATGTGAAACTTGAAGGACGCCTCTCTGTTAAGCAATGGAAAAAGTCAGCATTCTAACACAATGCAATCAATTCATCCCAGCTTGTTTCTTAATAACTTAAAGGCTTGCCAGTGTTCTACATTACAGAGTGATATGAATAAGACTGACTACTCTCACTTAGAGAAAAATTAAGTGAAGTTAGCCACATACTGGCTTTGAAACCGAATAAATTGCATAAGAAAGTTTTTCAGTAAAAGCTTTCTCGTTCTAAAAGAACATTTTTATAACCCATTAGCAGCAGTTATGTAGTGTGTTTCACTCCTTAAAGGGTTCAGTTGTATTTGATAGATGAAAAAAATCATTTGCGGCTTACAACTAAAAGTTTAAAAAACCTCTGCTAGGGGCCTGGGATACAAAGATTAACAGAGAACACTGTTCTCATAATAACTCTGAGATTCAAATGATGGATGATTTTTACACATATTCAATTGCACAACAGTTTGGGGTCATTTTGAAAATCTCTTTTTTCTGTAAGTACAAAAGAATCACTTTTTTCATCTAATTTAACAACAAAGAATGAAAATAATTTATCAAAAATCCTAGAGATTCTGCAAAAAAATCATAAAGAACTCGTTTTTATGGAAAGCATTAATTTGCCTGCACGGAGTGTATAAATCAGCCTAAGCTTGAATGCAGATCATGACACATTAAACAATATAAAATAATATAAACTGATTTTGTTAAATGAAACAGTAAGTCTTGGTGAAAGATGAAAACCGGAGCCCATCATGTGTCCGGATTGCAGCAGCAGCAATGGCAATGAGTTCATTTTCAAACTGGATCCTCATTCAATATGATGTCATTCTGTCATGCTGTGATAACTGGTAACCAGGACGGGTTACCAGATTATGTTTCTAGTACAATGTGTTTAAAGGTTGAGCATGTAAGCAGCCTAATTTTACAAGTGCTTAATGTTTCAGTCACATAGCTGCTGTGACTGAAACATTAGAAACTGCTTGGAGCAAATACTTCATGCTCACAGGCGCCTATCGGGCATCTTATTGTCTGTACCTGGGGTACCAGAAGCTTAAAACAAGAGTCAAAAGCAGAATAAACTGTTTGTCATTGCCAGAGAAGATTTGACAAGTTTTTCATAGGTGCAACTCACATACTCAACTTTGCATTTTCCTTGCAAATGTTGCACGATTTTGAGGGAAATAAACAGGCTCTCCAGTGATATAAGATTTACTGCCAGGATGCATTGTGCTGAGTTTGTGCTATATTATGTTTGATATTATATCTGTTTCTTTTTTCTGGATGCATTTTTGTTAAATTTTGATCCAGATCAGTAGCAGGTTTTAATTTAAATACATCACAATGCATATTTCATACTTCCTTCCTAGTAAAGAATTAAAGTCCTTATCTTTATTTCAAATTCTTCACTTGATTATAAGTGAACATATGGAACGTATGGTTAGCATATGGATATTATGTTTGGAAATTTCACTCATCATATGTTTAATATGAGACTTTGATACTGGATTCCCATAAAGCTGATGGAAATGCTAGAGACAGATTAAATAAAGAAAGACCAAATCAGTGTAGCACAAACTGACAGAGTTTCTAAATGGATGGAGCATAAAGCTGCAGGATACTCAGGAGCACATTGCAGACTCTCCCAGCTCACCTCTTTCAAACTCTGCTGTTTTCCAGTCTTTCTAACTCCTTTGACCATGTGTTTAGAATTTTTGCCTAAAGTTACCTAACGCATGTTTTAAGGAAAATGAACAGTCATGGCTTAAAGACAGTTGTGGTTTAAAAAGGGGAAACAAAATCCCTGATAAAAGTTCAATATGTTTGTGGAGCCAGACCTCCTGATTCCACTAACTTCAAGGATGTGCAAGTATACAGTATGACATATGAAACAGACCTAAGTAATATCATATCGCTCACCCCCTCCCTTTGGTTTATGGAGTGCTGCTAATCCTATTGGCTAAGATGATCACATGTAAGCCAATGGCATCATAGCTCTGCAGCATCCCAGCCATGTGGCCTGACATGTGCTTTCTTTCTCCTATGCACCAAAAGACTACAGATATATAAAGCTTGTTTAAGCTTAAAAACAAAGATTGCTTGGATGCACAAAGTTGTAACTGGTTAAAATGAATATTTGCAGAATATTGCAGAGAACCTCAGGAGACCAGCTGCGTGCCAAGGACACCAAGTTCTGCTCAAACATGCACTGTTTTGGTGTACAAATGTGACGGATCATTCCTGATCCTGCTGTGATAAACTTATGAAAGGGATCATTCTTGGCATCTGTGACTGCTGTTCCCAATAATTTTAGCTCTGGTGACCTTATCAAATGTCACTGGCTCTAATCCAGGGGAAAAAATCACTACTTTGAAATCACACCAGCGTTCTCTGGAGATTTCTGAGTCTGTGCTTCAGTTCTAAGTGAGTGTGTTGGGTTGTTGGGTGTATTTGTAACTTCTGAGTCATTATCACTGTATAATAGGCAGTAACAAATAAACTAATTTAATGATGCTGTGCTGAATTTGTAGAGTTCTTCTGAAGTGTTCCTGTGACTGTTTGTTTTTTTTAAAGAAATGTATAAAGAACTTTAATGTGCAATACCAGTGTTTTTTGTCTTGACAGCACACTGGATCAAAAAATGTTTGACATTGAACAAAATAGTGCAGTGGCAAGATCTGAGAAGATATGTGCTCCTCTCAAGTGCCTCTGTGGCTTACAGCTATCTGTAATGCTCTTCTATGCATGCATCTATCCAGATGTACACTGTAGGTGCATACAGGGTGGTTAAAGAGGCAAAACTAAATGAAAACCACCCCTTTTAATATGTCATTGGTCTAGAGTACCGTTAATCGTACATTATTACATTTTTCTATTTTTAGAATGGACTATATTTTTATAGCTAAAGCTAATTATCTTTATGTAAGTAAGTCTTATGGACAACAACATTAAAATGTGATGTTTTACACACACTTTAATGAAGCTGTAATAAAGCAACAGTTATGATCCCAAAGTATATATTATAGTATAGTATAGTATAGTATAGTATAGTATAGTATAGTATAGTATAGTATAGTATAGTATAGTATAGTATATAGTGTATAGTAGTATAACTATATTTTGCTTATAAAACCGTTTTAATAATAAGTAAAATTCGATTTTTCCTCAAAGGTTCTGCTTCATTGGCAAATGCTTTTATGATCAGATATTCTGATTCCTTTGGGCCCCGTCAACCACCCTGTGCCAAAAACTTTCAAAACATCCCCGATGGTCACCACCCCGTCCTTTGGGTTGCTTTCCTCTGCTGTGCTACATAGAAATGCAACTAAACTCTGAATATTCAAACTCCTTCTGGCCTTCTGCAAGCACTGCTCCAGCTGCCCACCACCTGTCACATGACCGGACCCACCCAGCGCACAGCAGGGCACGACGCATGCAGCAGCGCTGCGCAAAGACACTCTGGGGATAGATGTAAACACCAACTTCTAGAAGTGCTCATGCGAGTGAGGTGGATGATGAAGGCCACAGTAGTTGTGGAGGCTGCACTGATGTGTTTCAGCCAGCCATTAATCGATCTAATCAGTCTGACTCATTTATTTGCTGATATTTGATTATGAAGTACGGGCTGCTGATGCTACGTGTACATGCTTGATAGAGGCCTATAAAAAGTAGTTCTACTGCACAAGCATCATAAACAGATATCGTCATCCACCCACTGCAATAAAGTGAACGGATTTGCAACTCTCACGATACCGTGATACCTGCGTGCTACGCAAAATGAACCCTGTGACTGATACTAGATACGGGCTACCTGTGCAATCGTGTTTTATTCGTGTTGTTAAACTTTGATAATAACAAGAGAGGCCTGCAGAAACTGCTGCAGTAGCGAGCAGCAAGAAATGCGAAGGCACGAAGACACTCGTGCACAGGGTGGTGTGGTGGCTCGTTTACCTGACTTTGGGTACGTCACAATCCATATGTCGCTACTTCTAAGGGAGAAGTTGGCGATTTCCTCCATCTTTCCCCTGCAGAAGGGCGGCAGCCGCACTCCATCAAACTCGAAGTATTTGCTCTCAAACTCAATCGGCGTGCTCGGCGTATCTGCCTCGCTCTCGGCCATCGTCGAAACGAGCCGCCAGTGCAAGAAAAAGAAAACGCGCACACCCACGTGAACAGCTTTGTGTACGTGTGGTTTGATGTATTTAAAGGTAAGAAGATGATGACCGTGACGAGGTTGCTTGAAACAGCGCTGCTTTGCGTCGGGATGCTGTGGCTCGCGGCGGAGGGCGGTGGAGTTGACCCTCAGCCAATGGCGCAACAGAGAAGTGATGTAATACGCGTGCATGAGACCAGCATCAGGACCACTCAGCAGGCACAAGGATGCGCGCGCCCTGCAGAAGCAAACTCGTTCCACAGACAAAACAGAACTATTGGGCTATGAGGCTGGTGATGATGACTGCATGTTGTGTTGATACAGCATGACTTCGGGTACAGATTGCATGGAGCCAAACACAAAAAAGAAAACCTGCTCCAGAGCGCAGTGACCTGAGACTGGTGCACTAGCACCCCTCTCAGCAAGACAACGACCTAAAGCAAACAACCAGAACACTTCTGGAGTTATTGCATGATAAAGTTATTCAATCTGTGTGGTTAAATAGGACCTGATGATAGCAGGTTATAGATAATTTCCATCTAATATGGCAGAGCTTGATTGGATCTATCAGGAAGAATAGGATTAACTGCTTAGATGCAGGTGTGCAAAGCCTGTGGAGTCTTACATAATAAGACTGAAAGGTGTTACAGCTGGTAAAGTGATTTCTAGAAACTACTAAATTATTTAAACGTGGCATTTTAGTTTGAAATTTTCTTACATTTCTAAAAAATAAAAATAAAAAAGAAATAAAAAAATTTTTTGGAAAATAAAGTCAAAAAAGAAATGTCTAGCCCTTTGTGAAACATGCATTCACACTTCATCTGTCAGTTTTATTCCCGCAAAGAACAGATAAGACATTTCAATCTTTTAGTTCTATATCTTTTCATGTTATGTTACCATTGTGGATTTATCTTCAAAAACATTTTATCAATAAAAACGAAGCCTAAAACACAGTGAAATGATTTTAAAGCAAGAACTTTCATATACTGTTAATGTTGCCCATTGTCTTTTTTAACTTGTACTTTGTTGTCACCTTTTTTCAAGAGGTGTTGTGACGTCTCGGAGTCAAACCTTTCTACTGATTGGATGGATTGGCTCATGTGACAAGCGTCAGTAACCCGTGCTGCCTTTGTACTAACTCGGTAATAGGAAGACTCAAATTACTTACGACATCATGTTTTATATTGCTTTGACATGTCATTTAAGTGGAATAAAATGATCGAGTTGATGACTCTTTGTTAAAATACGCCTTTTTAATAAACAGTGACAGTAGAAATGCACATATGTATATGTATTTATAATACAAATAAATCGATAAGTGGGACACAGTTGCGTTGTTTCGTAACGCTTTTTCTGACAGTCATTGAACGCACCACAGTTTGTTTTTATAGCTGGTTGTTGACTTGTTGCGTGCGTTCCTTCTGGCCGCGCGGCGGTGATAGGCTTGACAGCTTGGTGTCCTGCTCAGTCTTCGTTACCTGTCAGAATACCCCAGCGAGGGAATGCCCCGCTATGTTCGACTTAAGCCGTGGCTGGAACCTGTCCTTCGCTGGTTGCGGGTTCCTGGGCATTTACCACATCGGAGTAGCCAGCTGTCTGCTGGAGAAAGCTCCGTACCTTATCAAAGAGGCCACTAAGCTGTATGGGGCTTCGGCCGGTGCGCTGACCGCCTCGATGCTCGCCAGCAAGGCACCCATAGGTAAGATACAATGCTGGGGCTCGGTAGCCTGAATAATAATGTACACTTAAAATCATATTCATTACCGAATATGATCTGATAGCCTGCTGGGGATATGTATAAATATGGGTTCAGCTTGTGTACATAGCAGGCGTCTGTAGAGTTAGCAGGCGTAAAGAAAGTTGCACTTGACAAGAGCGATTTAGGTCGATTTCATAAACAACCTTAAAGTTAGTAGAAAGTTGTATACATTGTAAATATAATTTGAAATATTTGTATATATGAAACGTTGTTTAAAACATAGGCTACTTATAGTTAAAACCATTTACATGTTAGCATGCAGATATATGAAATCGGTGTTTTTATTAACAAAGTAATAATAAACGTTTATATCTAAGGAACCTTTCAGATTTCTACAGTAGAAAACAGTAGAAACCCTAAAAGAGGGAGAGAAAACATCAAAACAAAACAATCACATGAAGCCCCCAAGATAAAAATAAATAAATAAGTATATAACCTTTTAGAGTGTAAAGCTATTAGACTGGATCATTGGGGCAGTTCCACATGTTCCACATTAAATGTACTGTAAATTCAATAATAATGGATTGCATTTATATAGTGCTTTTCGAGACCCTCAAAGCGCTTTACAATTCCACTATTCATTCACACACTGGTGGAGGCAGCTACAGTTGTAGCCACAGCTGTCCTGGGGCAGACTGACAGAAGCGAGGCTGCCATCGGCCCCTCTGGCCATCACCAGTAGGCAGTAGGTGAAGTGTCTTGCCCAAGAACACAACGACCGAGACTGTCCGAGCTGGGGCTCAAACCGGCAACCTTCCGATTACAAGACGGACTCCCAACTCTTCAGCCACGATCGCCCCTTAAGCACAATTAAGAGTGTAATAGTCTAGTAGCTAATTTCTGTTCAAGGTTACATATTACTTGTCAGTAACTTGAGACCAGTAGTACTATAAACTTAAGACAGCAATTCATATATGTGCAAGGCTTATACAGAGCAGGCAGAGAATGTCTTTCATTGATATACATGTATATATATATGTATAGGTTGTGTTCAAATGGGACTGGCTCATACCACAACATGACTGTGCTTGAGTCAGAGGCACCCTTTCACTTTCTTTCTCATGATGAAGCAATCATTACAGACTGATCTCATCTGTAAACCTAGACTGACGCCCAGGTTATCATCAATAGCATCAGACAATACTGATACAGGTTTAATTAGTGTGTTTTCGTTCCCAGCTAAATGCTGTGAAGATGTGATTGAGGTGGCTAAGGAGGCCAGAAAGAGAAACCTGGGCCCCCTGCATCCAACTTTCAACCTGATTAAGGTGTTAAGGTCTGGCCTGAATCGCAACCTGCCCTCTGACGCACACACCCTGGCCTCAAAGCAACTGTGCATCTCTCTGACCAGAGTGAGTGATGGGGAGAATGTGCTCGTGTCAGAGTTTGACTCCAAAGAGGAGCTCATTCAGGTGAGGAGAAAGAGGTGGTGGGTATATTCCACATAACAGGGAATGGGTGTTCTGTAGTTTAACCTTGTGCTCTATCCACAGGCGCTCATCTGCAGCTGTTTCATCCCCATCTACTGTGGACTGATTCCTCCGTGCTTCAGAGGAGTGGTAGGTTTGCTTCTTTACATGTATGTATGCGTGTTTCTGCTTTGGGGAAGCAGACGCACACATGTGACTAAAAAAAACAGAAAAAGAAGAAGGAAGCTTGAGCAGTGAAGAAAAAATGTAGCAATAAGCAAAGTTGAAAAGCGCTGAGTGGATGCAAGAGTGAAATCCTCTGAGTGTAAAAAATGTTATTGAGACGTGGCTCGTCTTGTATAATCACATTTGATTGTAGCTTCTTTTAAGCATTAAACATGAAGAAGGAAAAATACACATTTAATATACAGAGTAAAGACTGTGGGATGGCTTTGTGTAGTAGTCAATCTGAGCAGTGATAAAGAAGCTGCAGGTCCCAGCATATAGCTGTTTGCTTTACTGTGACTTATCAGCAGCTCTTGGACTTTGGCAGCAATCTCATTCAGTAATCAGCTCAACTCTCCTATTACCACAATTATAATTAAGACACTCATGACTGGATTTAGATCCAGTTATAGAATAATATAATAGCAAAATCACAAAAGTGGAGTTCATCATAGTCACAGCAGATAAAAATAATAAACCTGATAACAAATCAAGAACTGTAACATCTTCTAGAATTCAACCCCATTTCCTTGAAATTGCCTAACAAATACACAAACATTAAGTGTGTTGACTAGATTATGCTAAAAATAATGGAGATATCTGGCAAATTACAGCTATGGTAACACTAATCACATAATTAATACGACCATATAGAGAAATGAATGTAGAAGCTGTTGGTTTGTTGACTTACATTCTGAAGCCTCCGATTTAATAAATAGGTGATTAATATTTTCAAAAGAATGAAATGTATTCAGAAGGAGTGATTTTCACTGACTTAGCCGAATGTGCTGACGTAACATGTATTGAGAAAAGTCAGTGCTTTATGAATGGCAGAGTTTAGAGTCAGACTCCTTTGGAGTCAGCGTCTAGTAACCTTGAATGATATCACACTTTCAGGGACTTACTTGGACTTTTCCCTTTCGGCTCTTCACTTGTCTGAGGAAGCACAGGCTTTGCTGGGACTTACAACGTACAGTGTGTTAATTTAGAGTGAGATATCTAAATGACTGTAAGTGTTACGTTCACAGTAAAATGCCTGTTCTGAACTTTTTAAATCTGCACCTACAAATGTCATTCAGAAGAGAAACTAAAACTACAAGTGAAACTGAAAAGAAACTTGACTGTTGTTATACTGAGTTATACTGAAGTTCAGTTGATATTGGTGTCGTAAAAATGACAGCAGGGCTGAGTTACTCCACATTTTTGTAGTTTAGTGATAATCAGATTCCCACTGTCAGAGAATGTCAATTTTCAGTTACACTTACAGTTCATACATGTTTCATTTATTAAAAATGAAGAGAGTCCAACAACAAACACTGTTTGATCTTATAGAAATGCCATGTTTAGCAGACATGGTGGATTAATAATAACAAGAATGTACTTTGATTTACAAAAGGGAATGAAAGACTTAGAGAAAACAGAAAAAACAAATAATATTGAAAATCCCCAAATAAATTGTGTCAGTTAAAATTTATTTAAATTCTCATTTACAATTGAAGCAGCTGACATGTCAGTGTGATAACAAAATCTAAAAGCTTTGTAATCAAAGATGAACACAGTGACAAAAATCAGGGTCCAACTTAAAAAAATAAAATTCAGTGTTGTAAATGAATATAGGCATTTATAATGTGTAAAATCAAATGCAGTTGGTACAGTCAAAGATTTGTAAACTCCATCCAAACAACAAAACAGGACACCTGGTTTCTTTTCACCCTGCGTAGACGTTGTTGTCTGAAACTTGGTGCTCAAGTTCAGTGTGAACACAGAAAA